AGGTCGGATTAATATTCAACCCCTGCCGCTGATTCTCCTCTAAAAATTATGAAGGAAGAAACTAATCTCTGGTGTTTGCCCTGTGTTCTGCCTTCGCACAATAACTGACATATTACTCCCCTATTCAGTTTGAAGGATGAAATATTTGCTCATTAAATTTCACTGAATAGTCAGTGTATTATTCTTCAGTCTACACACACCCATGTTCCATCCATATTCATGGCTGCTGCATTAAAGAAACATTTCCCTGTCTGTTCAGTCACTAACATCAAAGAATCGCTGGCATAACAAATGCTGAAGATCAATATGTCAAACTGTGCAATTTAAAGCTGAAGCAGCTGATCAACAGTGTCACCTAGTGGTTGATGTGAAAAGGGTCAAACACTATCATACTGGATGTGGGGTCCACTTCTGGCCCTTCTCCAGGACCATGAGGACAGCATTTTCAGGCAGCGTCTGGAAGAAGTCCTCTGTCTCCACCCCTGTGCCATCTTCATCCAGCAGCAGTGCGCTGACACACGGTACACTCAACGAGTCGGCGACCTGAGAGAGCAGGCACAGAGAGGAACGTAAGTGCATCGCTTGCTAAATAATGTACACTTCAGTATTGAACTTTTACCAGCAGGAGTGCGAAATGTGCTCAAGCCTCACAGATGGTGCAGCAGTGAGCGAATTATGGGCCAGTCTGTCTGTGGTTATTTGAATCATCTATACACATCACGGTGTCTCTCTGCGTCCTCATTATAAGCTTTGGTCTTAATGTGCTTTCAAGTGTGTGAGTAACCGTTTGATCGTCCTACACCCTCAACTACATCACAGTTCCTCTCCTCAGCCCTTTCAACACTTTATATCCCCTTCCTAACCTTGTTCATCAGGTCTTCTAGCGTGTCTGCCATGATGCCCTTCTTCACACTGCGGTCAGCATTTGTGACCCTGAAGGGCTTCGGCCGAGGAGCTCTACCCGACAGTAGCTGCTGGGTCATGGAAGCACTGGCTGAGACACTGGCTGTCACACACCTGAGAGATAAGATATATAGATGACATAAGTAAATGTCAAACCGTGTCAACTTTTTACTAGTGACAGTGTTGACTGTCCTATCTAACTCATTGTGTGGTGCTCTTACTTGGTGAGGGTAGAAGGAGTCAGAAGGCTCAGGGACTTCATAGTGTAATCCATCTAAGAGCTCCTCCACCTGTGATTGGAGATATCATCAGTTTAGGCAACAAGGCAACACATCATCATTACTAGCAGAGGGTAACATTACTAACAGGCATCACAGAAGGATCCAGTAGTAGCTTTGAGTGAATACTGCAGCTTGGAAAGTTAGTACATTTTACATTCCAACATTAAATTAAGGCAAGCAATTAAGTAAATTCTGGCACCGGCCCTGTTTAGTGTCCAGGCCTACACGTTTACATCTATCACAACTGTATCTTATCTGTAAAACAATCCCTTTACTTAAATACACTACACAAATTTCTCAATAACATCATCATCAATAATCTTACAGTTTTAGAAAGGTGACAATTCACCAGCTGTTGTCCCAACTGCGTTTGAAAGTTATCCTTATAGTGGTCGCTGTGTTCTTGAAGTTCAGCTCCAAACTTGGTTCTGATCACTAATCCTCTGTGGTAATGAATACTCCCTGCTTTTGTTTCTTGCACCACTTTATCACTGAACTTTGTGCAGATGACTCTTGAGCTAGTTGCAAGCTGTCGGCTTTATTGAGTAATTCTCCGTGATCACTCCCACTGACCCTCCCCTGTGAAATCCAGTTATATACAGAAACAGTTACATCAGCTGAGCATCCTGAAAATGGGTTCAACCAAATAGCAAAAAAATAAATTTTCTCACTTACCTCTAGTGGATAGTTTTGGTTGAAATTATCCAGGTTTCAGACAGTGTATTCTGTGAATTTCCCAAATTAGCCTGGACATTATTATTGGAAAGATTTTAAAGACATTAAAAAAAATGTATTTTTCAATGCTTTGCACAGTACACATTCTAACTACAACTAGGATGATCAGGATGGTGGCAGAAATATGTATCTGCATGGCTAAATAGCAGCTGGGGTAAGTAAGAATATGTTTTGTGTAGTTTGGGTGAATCAACCCTTTAAATACAAAGGTTTGTGATCTGATGATCTTATTAAAATATGATGTGGGCTCACAATTTAAGTAAATTTAAACATCAAACTAAGATTAAATAAAAACACACAGACAAGAAACAGGTGATATTCACCATGTTGTAGTTGAAAGTTCTCCATTAAATTCAGTGAAACAGGGAGAATGAACTATTGTGCTATTGTGATACGACAGGCATTTTTTAAATCCTATTATCTCAAAACTACGGCTGTTCTTTCGTATAGATATACTCAGACATCAACTTCTAATACACCTTTGATAAGAATTTGCACCTTACTGTCTGTCTCTGCCAGAGGCTGGAGGACAATAGGCAACAGTGGTGTGATAGCACAAAATTACATTGAACATTTCCAAAATGAGGTCATAGTTCAATGTTCACCACACGTCGTCTTACGCATTGGTGTATCAGCTGACAGGGAGTGCCTAGACCTCCCAGTGTTACTACACCATGTTGCACAACTTAAGCTACAGGTAGTCTGAGATCACCTGTGTACACTGGCCACAACAATTAAAACCCAGAGATTGATATGGAAATGACAAAAGAAAACTTAGCCACCCAGGTACAATTTTAAACCTGCTGCAGGAAGAAGCGGCACCACGGGTAGGCCTACTAGACCCTGTGATTATGCTGGAGTATCAAAAAGGTTTCTCCTGCCTTGTCCAAGATCACATTCAACTGGTAATGTTCCTCAAACAGTTTAAATGTAGTTTAAGTAAGATGTTTGAATGTTTGTTTCACTGTTAAAAGAAACGACCTGATGTGACGTTAAGACAGACATGTTCTGCCCCGCTTAAACTTTAGTTCAGAGAAGACAGACTCCAGTCATGCTGCCATACTCTCACAATTCACACACCTTTGCTAGTGGCTGTGTCACACTGTGTGCGAGTCTGAAGGTGCACACACAGCTTAGCAGCACATCATTTACACTAAGCAGGCTCCCGCATGACTGAGGAAATCAGGAATGGAAATAGAGGGAATGGGAGAAAAACTTCTTACATATGAAGACACACAGTACTGACATAATGGCTGACCTCAGTGTTACTGCATACTGGACATAATCCTCCATTCCTGTTTATTGTCACAATACTACAATGCAAAAAGACTTTCTGTAAAGTAGAAAAGGGAAAATCAAAAACTGGGGGAAATGACAGTCAATTATAATGGTTTGATTTTCAGAGGAGTGAAGTTCTGTGTGAATAACTACCTCAGAAATCTGGTGAGAAATCTGCTTCTTCTTTCTTAAGATAACATGTTCAGCGTTCAGATCTCAAGATAGTAAAATCCCTATAGACTGTAAATTGGTTGATATAGTTAGTATCAGAATATGTGTTGATTAAAAAGGACTGCATCTTTAAAGGGTTTTAACTTCGCAACTGAAAAAAGAAGCAGTCACCAGAAGTTAATATTTTATAGAGCAAAACATGATAAAACCCCAATTAAAAAGAAAACAGCAAAGTATTAAGACTTACTTTCCCCTGTGCGTTCCTGCTGTAAAGTGCCTACACATGAGCCCATCGCTGCCTCAGCACTAATTAACAACACCTGTACGGACTGATTAACGACCACAGTCTGCGCCATTTTGGCTACTTTCTCTCCCTCCGTTTGAATTCTAGCTCTCACGCATTTCACCAATAGACCATTCAGGGAGGAGGAATGTGTAATGGATATATTTGACGGCATGATTAGCCGTCTTACGCCAAACTTTAAGCTCGATAGTAGCCACAGTTAATGCCTGTAAATTGCAGTCTGTGGGTGGAGAAGAGACAACGAGGACATCATGTGGACAAACGACAAACTGCTTCAGTTTAGCAGGTAGGACCTATAGGTAGGAAACACCTCCTGTCACAAGTCCTGCGTTCAAAAGTACAGAAGTAGGAAACTAAGGATAAGCAGCTAAATGTAGACAGCCATTATGCAGAATTGCCCCTTTCAGAATACGATAATTTATATATATATATTTTAAGAGCATATGGTTTATTTACTATTAATTAACTTACAGTAGTCTATTACAAGGCATCACATTTGATAAGATAACATGTTTTGGGTAAAATTTCACTGGTAGCTATATCTGTCAGATCAATGTAGTGACCATTATATTTATTTCCCAAGTTTATTTCCTGTAATATTAGCTAGCAACTGTAGCAGAAATACACTTGTCAAGACTAATCTGGGAAACAACTTTAAACCCAAATTGAAAAGGCTAAATTAAGATTGTGGTTTCTCAGAGGACTGCACTCAATACTTGTGATAACAGCCTTATGATGCTGAGTGGAGTCCCCCCCCCCCCCCCCTCCAATTTAAATAGCAACATTTGTTTCATAACCACACTTCACCAGACTACATGGCTGTAGTGTGGGAAACACAGCTTTACTACTTTATATTGAATATCCAGCAGCAGAAATGCTAGTTTCCTTTGTGGTACATTGCCTGTGATATCTGCTGTAACATAAGCCTGAGAAGGCCACTTAGGCTTCCTTAAATAGATTATTGTTACAATATTCTCATGGCAATATAAACAACCCTGTGCTCCTTGATGCCAGCTGAGACAACAATCAAATGCTAATGTCTGAATAATTGCTGGGTAATTTGTGTATTTGTGAGTTTCTGTGATGCCCAGTACTGACTTCATAGTGGCCTTACTACTTGCAGTGTAGCTGTATTGGCTTTAATTATTATAAAATTGAAGCTTGAAGTGATACACTACATTATTCAAGGTCATGACCAGCGACAGATTACACTCAAATGTAAATCAGATGAGCAGTTTATTTCACTCTGTTGCTTCACATTTCATGCTCATTGCTCACTGTCGGTGCCCAGATGAATCATGTCACAGATATTAGTCTAATGTAGAGCAGATAATGCATCAGACTTAAAATAGCTACGCCTTGTTTGCCAAATTCATCAAGTATTAGTGAACAAAGGTCTATAGAAAGGGTCTGTTCTTCTTTCAGTGGTCAATATCCTGCCAATGTCTTTGTCCTGTTATCACATATCTGACGTCGCTGTGGGTGACGCAGGCTCATTTGGCTCACACCCATTCATTTGTGCTTTATGGGTTGCTGATGCTTGAAATTATACTAAGCATGCCTGATATCAATGCAGAGTGAAAAGAATTAGACTTGAGAAAAAAAATATCATTATCATATTGAATTTAATTGAACAACCTTTTCTTTGAATTCAAGATTACACATGCAAACATAAGAAACAGATATCGGAACCTGATCACGGTTTCGAACCCATGGGTAAATAATCTTTGAGACAAAAGACCAGCTTCATCTTACATTGTTTGTGGGTCCTTTTGTTTTGTTATACACCATTCTTTCTAATTACATCTGTTTCAAGAGTCAGTCCATGGAGGGGTTTGGGTGTGGAATGAGGTATTCTAACCATTTAATACACGTATAAAAGTAAAGCAGATGTAAGCTCTATACGACAGATACTGACCGCAAGTGACAGTTGCGGAACTATCATTCTTTCTAACCAAGTGCCAGGGCCACGATGTAAGAAGTTAATTTCTCTGTGAGGTGAGATTTTGTCCATCACGCCCCTAACTGCTCCCAGGGGCCATGCTTCTTATTTCCTCTTGCCTATTCGTGCCATCAGTTCTGCATTGGCTGCTGCCTTGGTTCTCATGTCCTGGTTTTTGGCCAGGTCTATGAGGACGCTGAGTATGCTGGTGGGAACATCGAGGGACAGGGCGAAGCGGGACCCCTGCTGGGCTCTCTTTGGCACCTGGGAGGCTGGACGCGGGGCTCGTGCTCGCCGGTGCACACTGTGATACTCTGATCGGAGCAACGAGTTCAACACGCCGCTGCTTTTCAGGATGTCAACAGCCAGCACGTCCCTTTGTGTGTCTTCATCAAGTTTGGCAAGAGTGCTCCTCTGGCTCTGGACACACCAAGGCAGGAGCAGAGCCAGACAGAAACACACATGCAGACTTCGCATGGTCAGGACTCTGTCTACAGGGAGAGAAGAAGAAGAGATCAGCCATGACTCAACAGTACACTACAGTGACACTGCAAGGCTTCTCGGTGATGGCACGCACTGGGAAACTGTCTAAAAACATGGATTTTTTTTACTGATTTCATATGAAAATCCAACTTCAGTCATAAAGTGAGACTAGTGGTAAAACACAGGAGGCTTTTAGGTATGAATAGTGCAGGGTATGATGTAATGCAACAGTAAAAACACTGTTCCATCACCAACAACATCCAATTAAGATTTACATTTCAGTAGTCCCTATCAAAGCACAAATGGACATACAGGATCTATCCACTGTGCAGTAATTGGTATATTTGAAATATAGCTTCAACAAGACTTCTGCAGAGAATTGTTCATTCTGTAACATTTTGTCCAACTTTCTAATAAATCATGCAATAATTTCTGACATATGTACAGATAAACCTGGGTACGCAGTGTCATGATCCCCATCAATACTTACTCGGTGTCACCACTGTGAAAAGTTGGTAACTTGACAAAAAGGCACTTCTCCTTCCTCTGGTCTAAAGCAGGGCTTTGATAATGTTCTCTTGTCTTTGACCCTCAGATATCCTATAATACTGTATCTTCTGTCTCCTAGCTTCTTCTTCTTTGTGGTCTTGAGAAGCGACCTGTGTGGCACGCAGTCGGATATTCAACTGGACTTCTGCCTGCTCGTCCACGACTTTGTCTTCATCCACATTGGTCTTCGCAGTGACACTGCCCCTTCCCCTCTCTGTTTATCTTTTACATCTCTACACTCCTATCACCCTCCCCTCATTTCATCTCATTTCCTCTACACTCATTGCCATTTTTCTCTTTCTAAAAATAACACAATGGTAGTCACACTGCTAAAATGAATTGGATAGTTGCCCCAGTCTGCAGTCAAAGTACAACTGAAACCCACCATCTATTTTCAAAAGTATCAACACACTACAAAAAATTAATGTGTTGTCAATCCTCCATGCAGACTGGATGACCAGTCTCATCGTTAAAATCTGGAGGCATATGATATGTTAAAAGACAACTTATTTTCATACTATTACAGATTGTTGTGATCACATTTGTAGTTTCTATTGTTTGTGATTTCTAACACTGATTCAGATTTATTTCACATGTGTCTTATACTCATCCTAATAGCTTATCTTACTGTCAGGTTATGGTGTCCATCCATTGTCAACTGCTTATCCTGCATACAGGGTCGCGGGGGGGCTGGAGCCAATCCCAGCTGACATCGGGCGCAAGGCGGGGTACACCCTGGACAGGTCGCCAGTCCATTGCAGGGCCACACATAGACGAACAACCACTCACGCTCACACTCACACCTAAGGACAATTTAGGGTCACCAATTAATCTAGACTGCATGTCTTTGGATGGTGGGAGGAAGCCGGAGCACCTGGAGAGAACCCACGCAGACACAGGGAGAACATGCAAACTCCACACAGAAAGGCCGGGGCAACCGGGGTTTGAACCCACGATCTTCTTGCTGTGAGGCGACAGTGCTAATCATGGTGTATGTGTGTATGTATGGAAAATGAATTGCAGTTACACGGCACAACACTAAAACAGCATGTTTTTAAAAAAATTAGTTTTCTAAACCTAAAACAAGCAGTCTATGTCCCAAACTCCCACCAAAGAATCAGTTCTACATGAATGAACAGTCCTAAATTGTTCCACATTACTGGGAATGATTACATTCTACAACATTTAGTTGGGAGCAAGAGACAATAAATGGGGTGCCATTACTTAGAGTTTAGGACTTTTTTAAAAATGGGATTTATGTGTTACTTAATAGTTAAAGTAGAATTAAAGGAACTTGCTCCTTGGTTCCAACGATAGGCTTGATTGAAGATCCAGCAATCAGTATCTGTTTTTTTTTTTAACTGTCACCACAGATTTTTATGACAGCTATCACAGCTATGTGGATGTGTCCTTGTGTGGAATCTTGACATGTTTGCCAGGGAAGATGTGGAAAAATTCAAAAGGCTGGACAATGTGCATTGTTGCCCCTCAAAGGGAACATAATGTATGAGTATGTATGATGAGTACACAAATGCGTCTATTTACAGAACAGAAAGGAAGAGAGAAGGGCAATGTTCAGAGAAAACCCTCAGAAAACAAACGGGAGGATGAGGCTGTCAGGCCCAGGAAGGACACTGAACAAGAAAAAGCCTACCTCATGTCTTGAGTCGCCTCCAGTCCAGCCCATCAAGGTACTTATCCTCATCTGGCTAATGATATGAATACAACAAATACATCCTGATTATGATAGTTGGGCCCTCAGGGGCCCTCATGATTACGAGATGTCTCCGTTGCCGTCATATAAACAAACACGGGTCACACAAATGTCATAAAGCAGCAAACAGAGATGTCCTGGGTTGTATACTGGTAACATTATTGTCACAGATACAGCATGACGCATGAATCTAAGGTTATGTCATCGCTATGATTCTGAACTATAACTATATATATATATATATATAAAAATGAGCAGGTTCTGGTTTATCATTCAGGTACCCTATTGACGTAGGGTTATGGATAGAATAAACTCAATATATCAGAGAGTATCTCATCATAACTGATCAATTTGATTGTTCTGCACATTGATGTTCAAATACAAACAACATAACCATATATAGAAAATGATAGTAATACATACAGAACACAAACACACAAGAGCAAATGCTAACAAAACATTACTCACAGTGGAAAAATGCCAAGTAGCCCACAACCTGAAATTACACCTCAAATCATAGATCACTGATAAATCTGATGTATACTCACAAGACAGAACAGAGTGACAATGAAAAGAGACCAAGTGTGCTTTTAGGAGAGTAGAGGGATAACAGCTATGCCTATCAGTAGGTCCTTCTTGTCTTGAAAAATCAAAGACAGACTGACACTGAACTGAACTTTGACGTGCAGCTTTCGGTCCTGGAAATAATTGTGGCATGAAATCAGGAGGAGGTAGCGTTAAGTGTCTATAACATTCAGGAGCCTACCAACACATTGTGTCATGTGACAGATTATGCATTAAGATACATAATTACAGAAAGAGGTCAGTGAGAAGTAAAAATAGTTTTTTGTTGTACGGTTCTTGTACATGTCTTGTTTGCAGTTAGAATTACATTTAAGAATAGGCTGAAGACTTTTCTCTTTGATAAAGCTTATAGTTAGGGCTGGCTCAGGTGAGCCCTGAACCGTCACTTGACAATGCGACTATACACCTGGACTGCCAGGGGGCTTCCCACAATGCGCTGAGCTCCTCTCTCCCTCTTTATGCAACCTTTTCCCGTTAATGCATCTCTTTCCTTGCTCTTTCTTGTCCCTCTCCTCCCATCGCTTTCTGCAGGTGTTTCAGGCTCTGGAGCAGTGCAGTCTGGGTCTGTGGCTGCAAGTCACCTGTTCCAGCACATCCACTGCTATAATTATTACTAGTCCTCCCAATATTACTAGAATTATCAATGCCATTATAAATTTTCTGTAGGGTTAGGGTTATATTTCTGTGTGTATATTGTGTTGGCTACTTCGAGGCAGATGGCTGCCCACCTTGAGTCATGGTTCTGTATAAGGTTTCTCTACCTCCTAAAAGGGAGTATTTCCTTGCCTGTGTTGCCAATTGCTTGCTCACTGTGGGAACTTTTGGATCTGTTATTAGAGTAGAGTATAGTCTAATCCTGCTCTGTATGAAAAGTGCAATAGGATAACTTCTGAATTGGTGTTATATAAAAAAAATTGAATTGAAGTAAGCAACAATCAGAAAAACATTGCCATTGACCATGACACTAAGAACAGTGTGCTAAAAAGTAAAGGGTAAGAAGTATGCAAAAATGTAATAAAATGTGTTGTACTTAAAACTTTGAAAAGCAATACACCACGTACCACTGTACATATGACTGAGAATCCACACAGGGCCAGTGTTTTACAGTATTTTTATTTTGTCGGAATGAGCGCTTCTGTTATGTACAATAGTGGACAGAAACAAATGTTTCAGAAATTATAAATATACTGTTACTCCAAACTGGTTGTATTCAGTACTGGCTGTACTGTGTCCAGCAGATAATTACTTACTATTCAAGTCTACCTTCTCTCCCCTCCTCTCTCCAAGTCAGAATCAAGTGATGAGGACCTTTATAGTACAATTAAGAGGCAACCGATGTGTAATTTCAACACTCAATGTGCAGACTGGCTGCCCCCCTCATTGCTAACTAAGAATGATGGGCGGGATAAGAGAGGGAGGCAGGGAGGAGAAAGAGGGTCGACGGCTGCCTGTGCTGTCAAGCCAACGTGTGGACAATCCTCAGCTGTTCACTCTGACAGTGATGACAGGAGGAAAGCGGGGTAAGTTGAGGTGGAAGATGAGGAGCAAACACAGAACACACGGAGCGACACAACAACGTTTCTTAAAACCTTAGCCAGTACATGGCGCTGCGCATTCTGTTGTAGTCAGGTAGCTGCTCGACAGGGCCTGGGGGAGAAAGGCAGGAGGGACAGGTTAGAGAAAATGATTATAGCAAGGGCTGCAACAGGACCAAAATCACAAAGAACTCACCAACAGCTGCCACAGCCGGACACTTATCGTAGATATATTTGGAGCAGATGTCACGCACCATCCTGGGGGTCACGGCCTGAAAGGAGGGATGTGGAGGGAAGTAAGAACTTATGTTGGAGACAGACTTAGCAGTTTTAAGCAGATTATGAGAGACTGTACAAATCGTCCAGGTCAAAGTGTCAACTCACATCAATCCGAGCATCCCACTCTGCCAGAGGAATACGCCGGCCATAGTTCAGGATGTGTCTCCCTATGTCATCACAAATTGGTGTTGTTCCTACAAGACAAAGCGGTATTGTGATTTGTGACTAGGAGGAGAATTGTAATTGCGTTTGTGTGAATCAGGCATGTGATTGGCAAAGGGCAAAAAAAAAGCAGGAAAATATACTGAGACCCCACACACACACCCCCCGATAAAACTGGCGGCGGCTCTATTATAGCATATGGATGGTAAAGCAGGACCCATGACAATATCTTATTTGGTGAATGTGTTGCAGTGGGAATCAAAGACAAGTGTCTAATCCACTGCGCCTTCGCAACCTCTAATAATTATTTTGTATTCATTTTTTACCAAACTCAACCGCTAAATGTGCAACATGCAGCATGAAATAATTGACTGTATAACTAATAACTAACTTTCAAATTAGTTTAGTAGAAGTTAATAGATTATTTTTAATAAGAGACAGCAGCAAAGGTTGTTGCCTGTTTAAGACCTGGTGGCCTAACTGTTAAAGAAACAGTTATTATTCAGGAAACTCAGATCAAACAGCCACATCAGTCTCTGTTTATTGATAAATTGTAGGCGGGCATGTGCGTGAGACAAGAACAACTGCGGACCCCCCGATCTGCATGATTCACGTGGGTCCGATTTTCAGGTGGGAAAATCCGGGGAAAAAAAATCCCTGGTGAATGCATGACAGGCACTTACGTACCATTGAGCTGTCCAATCAGGCTGGCCTTCAGAGCGTTCTTGCCTCTGGCTACGTCACTTTCTGTCACTGTGGTGCACAGGTTCATCCTGCGGGGAGCATAAAGTGGGGGAAATAAGACAAAATTTGGTGTGTCCAATAACTAAAAATGACCATAATATAGTTATGGTGTTCTGTGTGTGTGTCTGTCCTGGAGTCATTACTGACCAGGCATTCTGGGACCAGTGCATCATGTCTTCGATGTTGTGCTTATCAGCCACAAAGTGAATGCCCAGCAGGCCGGTGTCGCTGTAGGAGGAGTGGAAGGCCTGGAAACTGTGACACAGTTTCTTCTCCTCTGCCAGGCGAGCCAGACGGCTGCTCAGATGCTACAGGTGAGAGGAAGGAATGGACATTGATGTTCTACTGTTCACAATTAATCTGAGACCATAATCACACCAACATCAGGTAATAGGATGAAATAACTGTGGTGTTAGGTTGTACAGAAAAATATGAAATGAAAATGATAAAATCAGTTAATTGTTATTTTTTTAAATAATAAATTTTATTTTTTTTAAAATTGCTATTCTACCCAGGGTCGGGCACTCCATGACAAAACAGCTGCTATGTATTTCAGATCTTGTTCCTCTCGACAGGTCCGGAGGCAGGAGTGAGACCCCTGACCCAGGTTTTCAGAGAGGATCATAGTCTACCCCTTTATAATGGCCACTCAAGATATTAAAAACCTCAAGTGGGCAAAGCTTAAAGGGGACACTGCTGAACCAATAAGATTAATTCACTTTAGGGAGGTAGGCTACTGGTTACAATTGCTAATTTCATCATTTGTTGTACTTTTTTTTAAAACGCGCCTGTACAAAAACACATTTCACCAACCTTTCCACCACCATACGTGAGGTCATAGCTGCCAATGATGGAGTTGGCAACCATGAGTGGCACAATGTCTGGGCTGGCAGCACTGGCCCCCTCCACAGCGATGGCAATGTGTGCCAGAGGCAAAGCATCATCACGCATACGGATCTGAGGAGAAGCAGGAAAGGACCAGATCAACAACATGTTTGACAATGAAAATAATATCCCTACCCGTGCTCCAAGCTCTGTCACAGGCAAGAATAAAATGCATCAATCTCAAATATTAGTTTGTCAACACATCTCACCTCACTGCCTGTAAATCGGCAGGGTGACAACACAGGGACAGCATCTCCCTCATACTCAAAAGACACTCCGCTGAAGTGAGATTTGGCCAAACCAACCAACTCCTCATGGTTTACACCTGTAGTGGAGACACATGATAAATGCCAAGTCATTTCAGGAAAAGTCGAAATTCACATGCTGCCAGCGTGACTCCTCATGGTGTGCTTTAGGAAGAAGAGGACCTACCTCCAGCAGCAGCCAGCACCATGCGAGGGGCTTTGTAGTGGCTATTGATGTACTCCACTAGGTCCTGGCGGGTCAGAGTCCTGGGAGAATTGAAGAGTACTGGTGGTAACTTACACAATGGTGCAAAGTTTAATATAATATGGAACAGACATACTGAAAGGAAATACACAAGTTTAAGTTACATTATGACAAATTAAGAGCTGTGCTACTTTTGAAGCCATACTTAGCATCATTACAATCCTGCACTTTTTTGACAGAATAATATATCTGATAAAAGCAATTTTGAGTAATTAAATGTCTGTGTGTGTGGAAGCATGCAGATCCTCCTACCTGGCATTGTTGGAGGGTCCCAGCACACTTTGTGATAGAGGAGTGCCCTGGAAGGCTGTGGCATGCAGCAGGTCCAGGCAAACCTCCTGTAGGTTACCCTCGACTTCCTCTAACTCACGTAGCACCACAGCTCTCTGCTGCTCAATCTCTGCCTCGCTCAGCGAGCAGCTCTGCACCACCTCTGACAGCAGCTCCACAGCTGGGAAAACACAGCGGAACAACAGAGGATTGTTCACAACTAAAAATAGAATATGCTCACACTTCATCTTACAATTTTTTTTTATAAGGATGTCAGGTTGAAATCAGGTTATTGTTCAAACTAGGTGATAACCAGTTTATTTCACTGCTTGTAAGCAGGTCATCTCACCTTTAGGGAGGTCTTTGGCCAGGGTTTTCATATAGTATGCAGTGTGCTCCCTGGAGGTGTAGGCACTCAGGTGAGCACCCATAGCCTCCACCTGCTGCTCTAGGGCTGTCTGAGGGTGGTTCTTGGTTCCCTAGAGGGCAAGAATAAAGGTGAATGGAAGGAACTGTGTAATGGCACTTTTTGGCTAACAGGTAGGTAGGGTTGGGAAGCTGGAACCATTACCAAATTTCCAAGAACCACGGATTTGTTAAGACACGCACATTTCGATTCTGCTTGTTGGTTCCTGACTTTTTGCATATTTCAGTGGCGCTCCACTTGAACTGCAGTGAGCAATTTTACAGTCCATAAAAGTTGCACTTATCTACCAAGACCTGTTAACCGGATCTAACATCACATCATTTGTAACGCAGTATGTCACTAAAGCATGCGAAAACAGAGTACTTCTTTTTCCATATATTAACAATGCAGATTTCAAACTTTTAAAAAGAAAAATCTGCATTCACAAATTTATGAGGAAGGAAATGCAGTCAATGTGTTAGACCTCAAAGATACATACAATTACAGTGACTAACAGTGAATCTAAATAAAACTATTTACTAACTTGGTTACAGGAAAACTTTACCGGTTACCTTTAAGGTCATGAAGTCTACTACTGTCTACCTTGAAAGCCATGTGCTCCAGGAAGAAGCCTGCTCCATTGTTCTTCTCAGTCTCATAGCGACTGCCAGCACTGATCCACAGTCCAACCTATGATGAGGAAGAGACATGTGAAGAATGGAGGGAATGTTAACAGACAACTCTCTTCATCATATACCATTCAATGACAGTAAAATGGTGAGTCTATAAAGTTCCTTAAAAAGTCTTACATGGTTGCAAATAGACCACCTATTACTGTGTTCTTACTGTGCATGTAGCATGTCCAGTCTCCTCAGAGGCAACTCTCAAACCATTGTCCAGGGCAGTGAGGCGAGTTTCAGGGGCTCCCACCAGACTCTGGGCATAGCTGACTGAGGCCTGTCCACGCCTCAGAGACAGCAAGATGGGCTGGACGGGTAAAGACACCAAGAGGCAACAAGAGTCATTTTAAAAATCCTATACATTAAAAAAATACTGTTAGAATGTAGCCTCTGCTTATTATTATTATTACCTAGGAAAGTGGGCTATGGTTATGTCCTATGTGTGTGTCTGTGTAGTTGGGATCTCAAAAACTACATAACAGGGAATTTAGAACAGTGACTTATGGACTTGGGTCCACGGTCGGTATGCCTGGGTCAGACTGTACTAAATGCTTTAAATATACTCTTGATTCGTTCACATGCAGAGTAGAAATGTTTCCACAGGACATCTAAACTTATTCTGGCAGCTGACATTGACAGCTTCAGCTTTCTATCAATGGAGTGACTAACTACACAAAAACAGAAGACAATTTAAGTTTATATATATTCTGATGTAAAGCTCGTCCAAGTATCTAGTTTAATATTTTCACTATTTTACGGGATGATTACAAAATCTGGAAACACAGCTAACTTGGTCAGCCCTGTTTGTCATCATGCTAATGCTGCTAGCCAGGAGGCTTAACGTTAGCCGCGGTATGCGGACAAGTGGCAAACGTTACAGCTGCTGACCTTGTAAATGACCCAACACGACTGAACGATGACCAGCTGATCTAGACAACACATATATAACGTGTATGTTACACGTCAGGTGATTGTTACACGGCGTACTGCTTCATTTGACCGTTGACCTTGCATTCACTGCTAGCTAACTAATGCTAACCGGTTAGCTTGTTAACTTAGCTAGCGGTCAATTACTGTCAGCGTTACGTCAAAAAAAGGGTAGCACATATATCCCGCTTAGATATTCTACATTATAAAAATATTTTCTGCTTAGCCTTTAAATCTGTAACGTTACTTACGCTGCGGGCTTTGGCGAGGGTTCGACCCACAGTGCTCCCGACTCGGCACACGGACGCCGCCATTTCTCAGTACGGATAGGCAGAAGCGTCTCGCCCGCTCTGGTGTCTCGCTTCTTCTTCGTTGTTATGTGAAAATGCGTATTACCTCTTCGTTTGGGTACTATCGCCACCAACTGTTCTTTGTGTGTTGTTGAGAGTGAGGTCTACGATCAGAGTCAGAATCAGTATATTCCCACTCTGTTTTTGTTGAAGAGTTTACTGTTACTTTAGTAATAAATCAGGCTTTCCACTCCTAAAGCATTGATAGTGGACTGGGAATAAGTGGGAGAGGAACTACCATCAGGATCCATGGGGAGAAGGGTGGATAGCTTCAGATACCTAAGGTATGAGGGAGGGACTGCCTGGCATTGCAGAAGGTGGTGCGGTGAGCTGAACACACCTGGAGGTGCAGGGTGAAGGGCTGAGAGGACCATAAAAGACCTTTATGACCCCAACAACAGACTCATCTCTCTGCTGCAGTATGCAAGGCATTACTGCAGCCTGAAGGCCAAAACAGATAGGATGAGGAGGAGTTTCTTCCTTCATGCCATTTTCCTGTTTCTGGAGCACTAAATAATTTCCCTACGAGATGTACTGTGTATGATTGTTTATGTGACAAATAAAAGTTGGTATGATGTGTATTATGTGTTGACTGTTCTAGCTCAGTGTCGTCAGGATTGAAAGACTCTTTGCCATCAACTATAATTCCTCTCAACTCCAAAAGGAGCTGTGACCCATCATAAATAATGCATCAGTGTGTTTTGTTTTTATTTAGCTACATTGTTGACAACACCACAATACAATGGGGGTGAATGTACTTTTGTTTCTGATACTCACAACACTGATGGCATTTAAGAAAGAAAGAAACAACATTGCTAACTCTGGATAATCCACATCATGAACATGTAATCAAACTACCTTCTACCAAAAAAAATAGTCCCTAAATAAACCTAAATAAGGTTCAAAATAACAGGGCCACTGTTGTGTTAAACCAAACTCTGAAATCTAAATAATTGTAAAAGAAAGTAATGAGTGGAAAAAAAGACATGGGAATCTGTAAAATACGGACTTTATCATGAGGTAGGCCAAAAAACCCTGCAACAAGAAAGTTCAAACTGAAGGAGCATGTGAATGAGTTGGTCAACAAACCTTCTTTTGGATTGAATTTGTTTTTTTGTTTTTTTAGGTACTCAAGGTGCTGGTGGCTGCTTCTCTGGACTGTTTTTGAACGGTAATCTCCAGAGGCAAAGAAGGACCTTGATCATTCTCTATGGTACAGGGCTGGACTTTCTCTGAGCAGCCTTTCGATACCTCTGGTCTGCTCTTCCACAGAAATACAGAGTGAGACTGGGCACTAATTGGCAGGTGGATGGATGTCACAGTCATTGGCAAGTGAAGTGTGAAGGTTTCAATAGGGACAGGCACAGGAGGCTCAGGAGGAACCGGAGGAGGTGGCAGAACCCTACTACTGGTGTTTTGAAGCGGAGTCTCTGCACTCTTCGACAGTATCTTAGGTAGAGACTTTACTTTGTCAGGTTCCTTCTCCTTGATGGGCCGCCGGTGTTTTGGTGCTGGCCGGTTGGAGGATCTCAGTGGAGGAAGTGGGCAGGGGCATTTGATCTTGAAGCCCTCAACAAGCAGGTTGATTCCTACATACTGTGGTACTTCTACTGTTGCCTAGAGACCAAAAGTGACATCTGTAGTACTGCATATCAACCTCACTATTGGGACACTTACAGTAAATGTTCACTATAAGGTGAAGAAGAGGGAAAACTCTACTATACCTGCCTATATACGAGCTGAAAGTCTCCAGTGTTTGCAGTGCGGTCTGTTCTCCGGTCCAGGACAACTCGTAATGTGTCTTCCTGCACAGCAGCACAGAGACGTGCTGTCACAGGGGTGGAAGGAGCCATAGTGGGACTGGCATTGATTTCTATCAGCCATGGACGCAGGTCACGACCTAAGAAACGCAAACAAAACTGAGTGGGGATGAACTTCCTTTATTTTTAAACTGTAACATAGCATGTCATTTGTAGTAATCCCATCACACCTAACATGAAGTCAGCGCCATAGAGCTCAAATGTGTTTTTGCGTGACTCCATGAGATCCTGTGTAGTCTGTAATGCATGGATCACAGCACTCTTCATCCCCGGGACTACCACAGTCTGCCACTGACCATCCTGGCCCTGGCTGGACAGAAAGGTCCTGAACTGGTCATCCGACCACATGTTGTCTGATGGGATACCTCGATGGCGTTGTTGGGAGGGCCTCAGGTGCTTCTGGATGGAGTTATTGCACAGGTGGACAGAGCTGAAAGGACCGGGTAAAGAGAGGCCAAGATTGGAAGGACAAATGAGAGGAAACTGGTGATAGGGAATGGACAGAAGCATAATGAGACGTGAGGGCAAGATGAGAGAAATAACACACGCCTGTCACTACTTTTCTAGTTTGCCTTCAAGTTACTTCTAAACCATCTTCCCTTTGGCAATAATATTTACTGTGTGATCAGACCCAGACACATTTATTGACAGGTATAAACACACAACAAGCTGGTGATGGTGATTTATATAGCGGTAGGTGTTAATTTCCCCTTAAGATGAAGGTATTTCTTACTGAACTTCTAGGTAAGCTTACTGAATGACACTAAGGAAAGAGCAATTAGCAAACAGATGTGCTCCAGAACTTGCAAATAAACGTGCTAGTTAGAAACCACCCAGCATGCACCCCTGAATTCATGATTGGCCACTTCAAATCTATGATGTGGGAAATTAGAGGGGTTAAGGTCAGACCCATATTGAAGCTACTTAATCCCTAAAATGTGATAAAATCAATTTATATATAAAGTTTTTTTTTAAATTACAAATAACTTGTGTTTTAATTACATACATTTTCTCATATTTTGTATTTTATTTTGATAGATGTGATGAGCAAGTATTGTATTGCAAGTATGTAATTTAAAATAACTGGTAATTTATAAAAGAAAGTAGAGAGGATCAGTAGATAAACTGCTTAAAGAGATTAACGGTTCTTCTTATTATTTTTTTTTACATTATGTAATTGGCATATTTCTCACTTATTATTTAAAAATTAGTGGAGGTTGCAGGTGTTTAAGAGACAGTTTAAATTTGAATGTTGAAAATGTCAAGGACAGCAAATACAGTGATTTGAATATACCCAGAGGATAACTGCTATTTTCATGCCACACAAACAACAAACATACCATAGCCTATTTTTTCCTCAGTTGTATCTTTCTCTCACTTCCCCTTTTTCAAATGTAACGTTGATCTGGTTTCACATCTGCTTCTTTCTTTGATCTTTCTCCCGCCCCTTTATCACTATCACTGTCTCACCTGTCGAGTGTATCTAGCGAGTAAGGCTGCGTAGAGAAGCGCATGTAGCACTTTTTATAGAACCACACAGTCAGAGGGTTCCAGTCAGTGACTAGGAACCACTGCCGCACGTCAAATTTGGTGCCATGGATAAGCAGGGGTCGCTCCAGGTACTTCTGCACCACCCACTTGCTTTCCTTGATTAGGGTTGGATCACCGTCCACCAGCCGGAGGATCTGATCCAGACGCTTGGCGCATTTGATACCTATAAGGGCAGGTGCAGCAGGTCAGACAGGACTACGGGAGATATTACGTCTGATAGTGTGTGACTTCTCACCTCTACCCCTGGACTTAGCTCCAGGTTTGATGATCCAGATGTTGTGAATGCCATCTATGTCCAGCTGTGGGCTGACCTCCACCAGCCTCTGTAGCATGGCCTTGCAGCAGGTCACAAAATGATCACTGCTCTCGATCTCTGCTCTGCCACTGAACGAGGAAACAGAGAGAGGGAGGGATGCAGTGAGATACTGAAGAGCACTCTTACCCGATTCCTTTTATGTCTCACACGCACACACTGTACTTACTGTACAACAAGGTAGTAACTGTGAATAAACTCTCCCCACTCCTCCTTGGTAAGCGTTTGTGCTGTCTCCAAGCTTATGTCTATGTCACTATGCTCCAGACTCTCCAGGAACTCCTGGCATACTTTGAGTGCACTGGTAATGATTTGGGAAAGGACCACTGGTCTAGGTCGTCGTTTGCTCTGTTTCCGCTGATCTGAAGGGGGAGCAAGAAAGTGATGTCTCTGATGTAGCTACACTGAGTGACTGTACAGTCGTGTGATAGATGGTCGTACCCTGAACAGCCAGAATGTTGTGGCTCGTTCCCTCTCCCTGAACACCCTGCTCCCTCTCTACAATGTACTTCAAAAGACTAGTGCAGGCTGTCCTCCGGTAGTCCTCTACACAAAGGACACAGACAGAGAAGCAAGTATTTTAAGATTTCTCTATGAGTAAAAGCACAAAGATGTTGGAAATAGATTTGAAAGAGGTATGTGCAATCTAGTTTGATAGACCATTAATTCGGATCTGACCAATGAAAGCATGCTTCTCATCCTGTGCTCCAACTCTGTAACAACGGGGGAAGAAGGTGTCTGGGTCAGCTGAATCAAACCAGTGCAGGTTCCTCAAGTTCACACACAGCCCTGCCTGACAAGCAAAAGACAAATATTGATGGTGGGCATGACAGGGGGGAATTGAATTGTCATTTTTTTTGCTTTAGGAGACATTAATAGCATATCAGCGTACCTTGGTGGTGAAGCTGCCTGCTTTTGCAAAATGATTGGTAATCTGTTCTTTTTGCAGGCTGTTTGTGTTGATGGCGTCTCTGCGGTTTGTCCAGTAGAAATAAACCAATTCATTCCGCACAAGGCGAGACTGTGGAATGAGAAGAGGGAAAGGATGAGAGCTGAATCTGGGAATCTGTTGAATTCTGCTTAAATCTGGTTAAAACAGAAAGCATGGTAATCAAGGTCAGCGACAGATCACCTTAGCCTACAACCATAAAAGATGTTTGTACCATGAGATCATATAGTCCATCTGGATCCTGCTCTTTTTTGACTTCGTCTGAGTTGTTTGAGAAGAAGGAGCAACGTTAATCAATGGAGAGATACGAACAGATATCTAGAAGAAATATGATTTCTGAAACAGTCACACTGGCGTCCAGCTCACCGTCATCATCATCGCTGTCACCAGCGTCATTGGAGCTGGCTCTGCCCTCATCGCTGTGACGCAGGTGAGCATGGTGGTTTGGGCGGTGTATACGCTGCTCAACCCAGCCTCTGGCCCTCAATGCTGCCCTGATGACGGGGTAAGGGCCCTGGACAGAGAATATCTTGTGCATCTGAGAAGACAAGACAGGAGATACAGAAATGATGGAGAACGTCTTAGTACAATTTGAAATAAATGTGACCGTGGAAATATTTTGACTACATCCAGTGATGTAACTCACCTTAACAGCTTTGTCTACAAGGGCTTTGGCTGTTTTCAGTCTCTCTGGGTTAGGAACAGGAAGGCTGACAAAACTGCGGCGAACTTTGCTCTCAGGCGGTGTAGCTGATGCACATGAGCACACATAAATTTTATATTAAGAGTATATTGTGCATTCAGTTGTCTTTATAAAGCTCATTAGTGATTATACTGTTCATGTTGCTACATGGTATCTTAAGTTTTAATTTTATACAATGGCTGACATCAATCCTAAATGTTCCTAACCTACCAAAAGCATGTTTAGACTCAATAGAAGACTACTACTGAGCCAGAAGGCCATGTTGTAAGCTTATCATAATATAAATTCTTCAATGGCATAACATGCTAACACGTAGCATGAACGAGGAGTGGCAGGAGAATATTCACAAATACCTGGATTGAGTTTCTTGCAACATGCAACACAGCATTTGCAACTGTAATATATCGATTAAAAATCCACTGAATGCACTAAACATAAGCCAAATATAATTGGACAGCAGTATACCATAACAAAACAGAAGGGAATATAACGAATGCTTAAGGCTTGACACCTTCAGCTTGGAGCCAAAAAGAGCACAGTCATGAAACTTTAATACATGGGTTCTGAGTTCAAACATTTGGCCACCTGTCCTGAATGTGACCTTATGATTAATTCAGCATTCATGATCTATAAGCCGACTCTATGAATGCAAAGGCCAAATCCTCTGGAGTTGTGAGGGAGTTTGACATACAGATGAAATATAAGTTTGTGTCTTTCTCATCTGGTTGTGTGATAAGGCCACCCTTTGATTAACACTTGAAGAAAATACACCTTAGTGATTTCCAGTATTATTTGTCTGGTCTTGGGATGTTCAGACAGGGACAGTGTTTCCTCTGTGGCTTTCTGTCTCTCACCACTGTCTGGGCACGGTGTGCAGTGTCTATCAGTAGCATGGTGTGCCTTCTGGCCCAGCTGGACAGACCGTCTGGAACTGCTGGCCTCCATACTAACATCAGGTCTCATTCTTCAGGGGAACCTTTCCTTTTGCACAGCTTCATGGTTTGGCCAGACACACACACACTGCTGCAGAGGACACAATTTATGGGGCAACAATCACACAGTGTAGACATGTGGACAAATGTTACACAAGAAATGTTTACATATAAATAATTTAAATCTGTAACAACTGCAGGTGTCCTCTCTGGCTAAGTTACTGGTCTATCAGTCTATCCCAAAGTCCAGTAGACTATAAAGTAGGTCAAATTGCTATGCAGGAAACAGCTTGGCTACACCTGTCAGGTTTGTCCCTATCAACCCAGGCAGGGCGTGATTTCCTTAAATTATCAGTTGAACAGAAACCCAAAACTGGACACATACTGCAACAACACAAGTGCTCATTAAAAACCCAATATGATCAGCCTATACACAACACACACAAAATACTAACATGTTTGCTATAAAGCCAAGCTTTAAGTTTAACGTTAGCATAATTCCACAAACCACAGCCGTGCTCTTTTTAAAATGTTCTGGCAGAGCAACTTAGGCAAGCTACACCACCACTGTCTCCTCCACTGGGATATTATATGTCACAGTAAGCCTATCCCATTTTAAGCAAAGCTTTGACATCATGGTTTTAGTATTTGTTCCTCTTACCTGCTGAGGTCCACAGGTGTCGGTTGAGTTTCACCGGAGGGTTGAGTTTGCACGGCGAGCCCGGTTCTCCACCTGTTTACTGTTACCATAGCTACCAGTGGACAGCTCTTCTGCTAACACAGACGTTGAGTTTTGATCGTTATCATCTGTGGACGCAAAGGTCGCAAAACTTGACCGTGGCGTTTTTGACTTATTTATACCATACAATAACATTTCAACAGACTATTCTCGTTTGTTTATCCCGTCGGTGTCCGTAGAAATATTCGACACAAGTTTATCCTGCCGTTATTTTATGATATACACGACTGTGTATTCTGCATAACTTGTTTTTTAAACTTTGAAACCTACATTCTGCTGTAGACTACTTATATAATTTTAGGGACTTTAATTGCACATTGTGGTATTGCTACTTTCACTGGCGTATTAACGAGGGAAGAACATTTTTCTTAGTTTAAACTGTAGACATCATATTGTGGAACGTGTGTCATGTTTGCTTGTATTTTGAATATTTCTAATTTCAGTCGCCATCTTTGCTGACGTCATGCTGTCACGTGTGCTCTCGCGCTTCAAACACACAGCGCTGTACCCAGACCCGCACATTCTCGTAAACTCGAGCAACATAATAACATAAGTGCAGCTTTACGATATATATCAGTTACACTCGAAAACAGGTAAGCAGAGCAATGCTTTTTAAACGGAGCCAGTGAAAAATAAATTATTTTCCTACGTTAAGTTAAGCTAACATGCTAACACTGTAACGTTAGCGTTAACGTGATGCTACTTAGCTTAATATATGTTGAACCATTTTCTCAGGTGGCTGAAAAGTTCCGCTGCCAAATGTGTGGAAGGACTGCGTGTACGCTTGCTCCCGACGAGTTGAGCCGAGCCTGCTCTTACAGAAACCGAGGGGGGCAGCGGAGACTGCCCCGCTGGAGGGATGGAGACGCAGACAAATACAGACCGTCTTATAACAAGAGCCCCCAGTCTATGAGTCCCGTCCTGGTGTCCCAGAGGCATTTTAATAAGGTAAGAAAATCTTTGCCTGCCTGAGTGAGATACAGAAACTGTTCCAAGTGAAGGATAGATAGACATTATGTAAATATTTCGCCCTGTAATGTCAAGACACACATCTGGAAACAAATTTGGTAGAAACTCTCAAGGTGAATAGATAATAGTAACGTTAACTAATACTATCAACTCTGTCACCCTGCTGTATAATTTTAGGTTATTTAGATAACAAAAATAAGTTTATTTTACTGCTAACGTTAATTTATGTTAGGTGTTAATATCAATATACAGTTAAATTCAATGCAGTCTAAAAAAAAAGCTAAAATAATTAACCAAAACATAATCTTAAAGTCTTCTCTGTCAAAGTCTCAACAATGTGGAACATTGTTAGCCTCAGACAGGTACTGCAGGCTTAATGCTCTGGATAGTATTACATAGTGTAGGTGCTCATGGTATTGTCTTAAATCCTTGTATGTCTTCAGAATGCTCCTGTGGATGAGTGTGTATTGGCCTCCATGCGTTGGGGTCTGGTACCTTCCTGGTTCAAGGCGAATGACCCAGTAAAGATGCAATACAACACCAGCAACTGCCGCAGTGAGAGTATACTGGAGAAGAAATCTTACAAGGTGCACACAGTATGAGGCACTGCTAAGCTATGTTGTCTTTCTTATGTTTAATGTCTAATCACTTTGTTGTCTCCCAAAAAAGGACCCAATGATAAAAGGACAGCGCTGTGTCATCCTGGCTGATGGTTTTTATGAGTGGATGCGGCAGGAAAGAGACAAGCAGCCTTTCTTCATATACTTCCCTCAGTCTCAGGTAAACAATCAGGATGACCCCACGACCTCAGCTTGCAATAAGGAGAATTCAGAGGCAGTGTGCCCTCCAGATGAGGCCTCTCCTGAGTTGACAGAGGTTGGTTTTGGGTTTTCTACAGAATTAGAAGCACTATGAACATGTGCTTTCATCCATAGCAGAAGTAGAGACAATGCAGCTGTGGCGGATATTAGCATTACTGAAAAAATCCTGTGTGGGAGGAGAGCCAAAGCAAAAATGTGCACGTGTCCACCAGGTTTTTCTTTAGCATTCAAAATGTCATACTCCATTGTTTAGTTTTGAAGTCAGGGTCAGGCTAAAGAGTGTAAAACAACCATACCAAAAAATCTGTCATATTCTTTCTTTTCTCAAATCTGCTATTTTTTACTATTTAAAATATACTATTGCCATGTCCCTTTTGCTCTTTTTGCCAGGGAGAAGAACCAGGCGAGTGGACTGGATGGAAGTTGCTGACCATGGCTGGTCTGTTTGACTGCTGGACACCTCCAGATGGTGGAGAACCACTTTACACATACAGTGTTATCACTGTGAACGCGTCCCCAAACCTGCAAAGCATCCATGATAGGTAAGGATAGTTAACGGGGAAACACACTAATTTCTTTCCTTCATTTGCATGTGTATGAAATCCTAAATTACTGTGTTGTTGTGTTTTAGGATGCCAGCAATCTTGGATGGGGAGGAAGAAGTGAGAAGATGGCTTGATTTTGGGGAGGTGAAATCTCTAGATGCCTTGAAACTGCTCCAGTCGAAAAACATTTTGACTTCTCATCCAGTCTCTTCACTAGTAAACAACTCTCGCAACAACTCTCCAGAGTGCCTTCAGCCAGTGTATCTTAACGGCAAAAAGGTATTAGATTTACTGTGGTTTGAAAATGTAGTGATATAGTGCCAGTTCCGCAAGTATTTACACTAACAAATCTAAACCTTGACCCCTAGGATCCCAAACACACAGCCAGCAGTAAGATGATGATGAGCTGGCTGACGAGCAGTGCACCTTCAAAGAGGAAGGAGCCCAGCACATGCGAGAGTAATAAAGAACACAAGGCAGGGGCCCAGTACAACAAGTCCAAGGGAGCGCTTCAGCAGTGGCTTCAGGGACCAAACAAAAAAACAAGAACCAAATGATGATATGAACTGTGACTGAAAACTCTGTTTATAACACCATTTAGGCCTTATTTTTTCCACTTGACTGTTGACAGGTATATGTTGTTTTTTTGCATTAGTAACAGTTTTAAATGTAATGAATATAATTTCCAAGAGGCTATCAATAAATGTCAGAAATAAACACAGTAGGCTTTATTCAAGTTTTTTATTACCCTTATTACTTGAAACGCGAAAGACATTTTGAAACAATGTAGATGCTAAGCATTTATCATATTAATAATATAATAATGATGAATGCCAGTACTCCCCCCCCCCCCCCCCACCTTTTTTTCTTTCAAAGTTACAGTATGCTATCTTGTAATCTATAATGCATTTCAAAGTTTTAACATAATACGAACAGTTAAAGATCTGATCGGTTAAAAGAAATGTCAAGCACTTAAACTGTTTGCCAACACGAGCGACTGGCAGAGTCAGATATGGAGATTTACAACACAACCTTATGCCTTCCCCACACAATGATTGAGAGGTTTGCAAATATACAAAGTCTTGCAATAGATGACAGTAAAAAGAAACGTACTAGCCAATAGTACTCGGTTATGAATGATATTTAGACTTGAGAAAAATCTCTCCTGTAGGTAGAATGACATGCTTTCTTGATTTGGTTCATTCCCATGTCAAATGTTGCACCAAGAATAACTGATTACAAGACGAAACTTCACTTCCTTAGTCCAGGAACAGCAAATAGTGTGTTAGGGACAGCACTTAGATCAAGAAGCTGAGTCTGGATTCACAAGATGTCCTCAACCTGAGCTACAATTGCATTTATTGTGGCTCCAAAATGTGATGTCTGAACAAGTCTTCAGTTATTGTGGATGACCGCAAGTGCAAAAGAAAAAAGAAATCTGTACATACTTCTGATTTTCAACACTGTACTAATTAATGAGAATCAAGAGGCAATGTGATCCACACATGCACCTTTACACACTGACTCACTATTTCAGTTCTGACTCCGTTATATATCAGAGCTTTTTTAAGATTGCATGAGGTAAAGTGAAACCAAGTGTTTTTGGGAGTAAAATTTAAATTAAGCCACAACACAAATAACTAAAATGGGGGAGCAGTGTTTCCTCTTTTCAAGCAGCAGTGGTGGGCCATGAAAGTAAAAACCACCACAGCCAAAGAAACTTTGATTTTTAAAAAAACAAACAACAAATAACATTAGTTTTCTAACTTTACTCATTGACACAAACATGTATAGAGATAATGCTTGGATTTACCACTTTAAGTATCCAAATAAAAGCCGTTAGAACCAAAACTGGATGTGAAAGCAGTGATATACATGAAACCGAAAATGAGATTAGCCCAAGCCACCACAGTCATGAAAAAGTGTAGGGAAACACTGGGAAGTAATGAGCATCATACAAGTAAATTCCATAATGTTTCCTTACGGTGTTCTTTGGGCTAGGAGACTCATATTTTATAGAAAATGTTTTGTATACATAAGGAGGTGAGTGCGGCATGTTTGTGTGTGTAGTAGTATATTCTATGAGTGGGATGCTGCTTGTATGTTGGACATCAGGGATTAACACAGTGGGCCATGGGAAAGGGGATATATAGACAAGGCAAGACAGGGTAGTGAGGGTAGTGACAACCCCCCCGCCCCCTCGAAGAGCTTCAGAGTCCTCAGCAGCTGCAGGTCTCTGCTGACGGCTTGGCTCGCTCGCTCCTGTCCAGCTTTATCGGCTCAGGGAACTCGTTGTACAACTCCACTTCAGTCTCCTGAAATCAGACAATAGAGTGAGATCCTAGCTCTGCATCTCCCAGGTTCCACGGCAAACAGAGCTTTCTCAATGTGGAAGAGACTAGGTCAAATTGTTGGCTAGGATTTCTCACTGGCCGGGGTTACCTGTTTAAGAGCGTTGCGTGCAATAGTCTGGAACGCTTGCTCCACATTGATCGCCTCCTTGGCGCTGGTTTCGAAATATGGGATGTTGTTCTTGCTCTGACACCAAGCCTGTGCTCGTTTGGTTGTTACCTGAAACACAAAGGAGCTGATGGCTTAGAAACATCAGACACAATATAATTGCTGTTTAAATTAAATCAAGCAGTTCTCAAACTATGGGGTCGTAGAGCCACTTCAGGGGGGTCGTGGATGTTGAGCAGACCTAAAGTGGCATGAATAGGATTCATGTAGTGACATAGTGTTTTGATGCTAGCAAGGCTATTTTGCTAACCCGAATCTTGTTTATTTCAATCGCCTGTATTGTTAATGATTAGGTGTGTAATGAGATCTCATGTCATGAGAACCTCGATAGGTTAAAAGCTGTCTCGCGAGACTCCCGCAATTAACATTTCCATCCACATGCTGTCACGCCTTACATCAATTTTGTCACACAGTAAAAAAACAAATCTATTAGTAATAACTGACTCGCTGAGCAAATCAACTCCGCCCAGCTGATGTGACACCGGCATGCGCTGTGATAGTAATCGAGTCAGCCTCTCATGCTGTGAGTCGCATTCAGTGACCTGGTATCTTCAACCAAGTCCAGTTGCCCTTGACTTTGACTTTAACCTTCTTTGGATAACTATGACCTGTCCAAAACAACAGTTTGGCCTTCCTGGACTGCGCTGTACACATTGAAGAGGACAGGAGCCTGCAAATTGGTGTTTACAGAAAACCCCCACACACAGACCAATACCTACTCTTCGATTCCCACCACCAACTGGAGCAGAAGCTAGGGGTCATGAGAACACTGCACCACAGAGCGGAAAGCGCCCAAGCCAGAGAGAGAAGGAACAGAAACACCTAAAGGGGGCACTTACAGCCTGTGGATACCCTAAATGGACCTTTGTGAAAACAGCCACAAGATCCAGGAAGAACAAAACTACAGGGGAGGAGGAAAAGAAGGTCAAACGCAACAACATTGTGATTCCATACATGTCCGGAGTATCAGAGAAACAAACACAACTTCCCTGTGTTTTTTAAACCCAAGAACACGCTAAGACAGATGCTGGTACACCCCAAAGACCGCACCCCCACGCACAAGAAAAGCAATCTAGTGTATGCGGTCCAATGCAGTGAGGAATGCACAGACCTCTATATTGGGTAGACTAAACAACCACTACACAAACGCATGGCTCAACACGGAAGGGCCAACTCCTCAGGTCAAGACTGCATTTTACCTACATCTGAATCAGAATCAGAAGGAGCTTTATGGCCAAGTAGTGTTTTACACATACGAGGAATTTGCTGTGGTGATAAGGTGCTACACGTAGACAAACATACAGTCAACATCAATAAATGTAGAAATATATAAATATGGAATGGGAGAACAACGTTGCAGATATATACATGTGCATTATTCTGGGTAACGCAACGGAAGAGAATACTGTGTACATATAAATATATAAACTGACAACATAAAAATATACAACAACAAAAAGATCAACAATCAACAACAAATATGTGCCAGATCTGTGCCCGACACGAGATGAAACAGTAGGACAGAAGGACAGACAGAGGACTAGGGATGGGGATCGTTAATTTTTATTGATATTGATACCCTTATTGAGACTGCTTAACGATCCGATTCTTTATCGATACTTTACTATTATTTAGTGATGGTTATTTGGTAAGACCAGACCCAACAGGCATGAGGTAGGACTGTACGGTGTGAGGAAAATATTCAATGTGCATATTGTATGTTACATATTGGGATGACACTTGTGATAAATAAACATATTGAAGTGTACATATTAACTGCCTGTTTGTTTTTAATTTAATATTTTAAATACAGCTAAATGTTGTTTCTAGACAACAGCAAAGTAACTCAATAACTTTATTTGACATCACAAGTAGTGAGTGACGTTTAGAAAGAACAACATCAGCCTGTATCAGTCCCTCCTCCTCTCTCGCTGGCTGCAGGTAACTTTACCAGGTAGAAGGAGGAGCGGCTGGTTTGTCTCAGCCAGCAGCTGAGTTTTTAAGACTACAGACCAGTCTGTGCTCCAGACAGACAGCTTTCTATCTAGCTTGTTCTTAACATTTGGCTAATGCCAAGCTAGTGTTAGCTGTGCTTGTATAAAACATACAGGATGAGATACTGAGGACAGAGATGATTAAATTAACCATTTCTACCTGTTTAACGTGATAAAGTATTGTCTTTTTACTTGCAAAGGTTTTATTGCATGTACTTACAGTAACGAGCGTAGCTGTCATCAACTAACGTTACAGTAGTTTGGAGCTAACTTAATCCTCACCGTATTCCACCGTGACGGCGCAGCCTCTCGCTGTGCTGCCGTGTGTGTGTCTGTGTGTGTGTTTGTGTGCGTGTTTGTGTGCGTGTGTGTGTGCGCCTGACTGTGTGTGTGTGATTGTGGACAGAGAGCAGGCAGAGACTGCAGCCTGATGATTTTCTTATCCATTGCGTTTCAAATTAAATCACATTTGACGCTCGAGACATAACGTTACTTCATAGCCCGTCTCGATAGCAGATTCGATAAGCTCGACCCTTACTGATTTTCGGGTTTTGAGACATTTTGGAACCGGGTTCTTTTGGAAACGGGTCGCGATCCCCATCCATACAGAGGACACTCATTTGAGGACCACCAGGTGCACATTTTAGACAGAGAAGATGGATGGTTTGAAAGAGGTGTCAAGGAAGCCATCTACACCAGGGTTGAGAAGCCGTCGTTGAACAAAGGAGGGGGTCTACGCCACCACTTATCCCCCACTTACAATGCTGTCCTTTCATCACTTCCCAGAAAACTCAACAAACGTAACCTCAGGTGAAGATGCCACCGATGGTCGTTCAGTCTTGGCCTCAGGTAGTCCTAACAACCGTAACGACTGTCGTTACAACAGCCAGGAACACTAACGACCCAGCGGTATCTAAGATCCTGGCAAACAACCCCACTGAGGTTAAATAGCTTAGTTTCCCTGCCAGTCAGTCAGAACTGAAGAAGTCCTTTGGATGAGGGACGAAACGTCTTCTAATATCTTCAGCCAAGTCCAGTTGCCCTTGACTTTAACCTTCTTTGGATTTGTGGTGAGATTTCTGCCTGATCACAAGTGTTTTCGGGTTCCTTTCCATTTCACATGCTACGTGCATTCCCAAACTGTGTCTGTCAGACAGTCTGAAGGGGAAAATACCAGTGGAGCAATAACATAATGCACAGCAGAAAAAGGGCATGTAGACTTTAAAAATATGAATTATCAAATGATGATGTAATATTACAATTTTACTATGTGGGAGAGATTCCGAATGTGCAGAAAGTTTGGAACATGAGCAGAAAACCTGCTGAAACACAGGAGCTATTAAAGTCCAGGACTTTATAACAGAAGTAAAATTAATGTATTTATCATTGAGGTGAAAAGGTCCCACATACACATTTAAAGAGGTTACTTCCCCAAACAAAAGTCACAAAAGAGGAGGGAATCAGATCTGCAGTGTGCTGACTCAGCAGGGATATTCTTACATGAGAAAAGTTGATCTACAGGAGAAACATATCTGAAAGCAACAAAGAATGCCTGAGAGCTCCACTGCATTATATTCTGTTAGAGTTTGAATTGTCACCGTCCACCTGAATTTACATAAATGATAATATTTAAAACATAAATTGGTGCAGACAAATTCACATAGAATGAAGGAAATTAGTGTTTAATGAATAGAAGATTTCTTAAAAATAGTGTTAAAAGTCTCGTCTCGATCTCGTGAACCGAATCTCGTGTCTTGTCTCGTCTTGTGACCAAAGTGTCTAGTCACACCTCTATTAATGATTGCTAAAAATTGTAGGTGGAGGGGAACTTTTTTTGGTTTCTGAAGGTGGGGCCCTCAGAGCTGGCCAGCTCTGTGGTTATGAAGTCCTTTGAATGCCTTGTGTTGTCCCACCTAAAATCCATCACAGACCCACTCCTGGACCCCCTGCAGTTCGCCTACAGAGACAACATGTCTGTAGATGATGCAGTAAACATGGCCCTTCACTACATCCTCCAGCACCTGGACTCCCCAGGAACCTATGCCAGGATCCTGTTTGTGGATTTCACCTCTGCTTTTAACACCATCATCCCAGCCCTGCTGCAGGACAAGCTCTCCCAGCTGAGCGTGCCTGACTCCACCTGCAGGTGGATCACAGACTTCCTGATGGACAGGAAGCAGCACGTGAAGCAGGGAAAACATGTCTCTGACTCCAGGGCCATCAGCACCGGTTCCCCTCAGGGCTATGTTCCTCACCCTCTGCTCTTCTCCCTGTACACCAACAACTGCAACTCCAGTCACCAGTCTGTCAAGCTCCTGAAGTTTGCAGACTACACCACGCTCATTGGGCTCATCTCTGGTGAGGATGAGTCCACCTACAGGTGGGAGATCGACCATCTGGTGACCTGGTGCAGCCAGAACAGTGTGGAGCTCAACGCTCAGAAGACCGTGGAGATGGTCGTGGACTTCAGAAAGAGCACAGCCCCACCCTCCCCTATCATCCTGTGTGACTCCTCGGTCACCACTGTGGACTCCTTCCGCTTCCTGGGAACCATCATCTCCCAGGACCTCAAGTGGGAGCTGAACATCACCTCCCTCACCAAGGGAGGCCCAGCAGAGGATGTACTTCCTGCGGCAGCTGAAGAAGTTCAGCCTGCCAAAGACAATGATGGTGCACTTCTACACCGCCATCATTCAGTCCATCCTCACCTCCTCCATCACCATCTGGTACGCTGCTGCCACTGCCAGGGACAAGGGCATCATTCACTCTGCAGAGAAGGTGATTGGCTGCAATCTTCCTTCTCTTCGGAACAGAGTCGAGCAGGAAAGATTGCAGCTGACTCCTCCCCACCCCGGACACAAACTGTTTCAGACTCTCCCCTCTGGCAGGAGGCTGCGGTCCATCAGGACCAAAATCTCTCGCCACAAAGGACAGTTTCTTCCCGTCTGCTACAAGCCTCATTAACAAGACCCGGGTCCCCCACTGACACTCCCCCCTTGCAAACGATACAAATGTCTCTGCACATGTAAATACCGTTTCATCTCTTGTCAGGCTCAGACCTGGCACGTCGCGCATATTTGTTTGTATTTTTATGTTGTCAGTTTATATATTTATATGTACACAATCTTCTCTTCCGTTACGTTACTTCTGCATGGCACAGACCCAGAAAAATGCACATGTATATATCTGCAACGTTGTTATTCAATTCCATATTTATATATTTCCACATTTATTTATGTTGACTGTATGTTTGTCTACATGTAGCACCTTATCACCACAGCAAATTCCTCGTATGTGTAAAACACTACTTGACAATAAAGCTCCTTCTGATTCTGATTCTTCTGACAGAAAAAGTTCATGCCCCCCTCCACCTCAGCAAAAGTGTACATAATTTTTATAAAAAGTATAAACAAAATGGTAAGGCTTAAAAAATGTACTACCTACAACAATACATTTTCTTGAAAAAACATAACAGCACCCCTGACAAACACAAATGTAATCATCGTGCCCCCACCTGTCTGTTCTCCAAGTCAATCTTGTTACCCAGCACCACAAAGGGGAAATTCTCCGGGTCTCGGGGGCTGGCCTGGATCAAGAACTCGTCCCTCCAGCTGTCTAGAGTCTTGAAGGTGTTCGGTGCTGTCACGTCAAACACCAGGACACAGCAGTCTGCTCCGCGGTAGAAAGCCACACCTAAGGACTGGAACCTCTCCTGACCTGCTGTGTCCCAAATCTGAGATACAGATACAACAGAGAGGGATTAGGCATCAAAGACGACACGCAGTGTTTACGTGCACAAATATGATTACTGTAAACAAAGAGATTAAGGTAATACTCTCTACTTGATACTGTAGTGTTCGCATGGTTCACGTTAACCAGATCTTCTGAACTGCCTGTGTTTACACTAAGGATGGGTATCAGGAACCAGTTCCAAGTAGGGCTGTGTGTTATCGTAAAAAATGCATATCCTGATAACCATATATATCCCGATAACAATATATATCCCGATATAGAACATTTTTTGAAAATTCAATTAAATATGGCATTTCCAACTGTAACTTTGGATATTTCTCTACATTATAAAGGTGGGGTATGCGATTCTGAAGAAATCCAACACCATGACAAATACCATGATAGGGTGAACAACAACACAGCAAGTAATGTAACTAATGTTAGCTAGGTTGTGGATTAGCAAACTGACGCTACTTGCTGCTGCAAAGCTAATATGAGAGGATGAGACGGTCCCAGAGCAGCACAGCAGCTCCAGACAGCGACACAATTCTCCTGCTACTATAGCTAATATTACAACAACAGCATCTGACGAACTATAAAGTAAGCTGTTTGTCTGTGCAAGTCATTTAACGTTACCTGACTGAGTACACACATCACTGCTGGATAGTATTGTGTGGCTCGTCCATTATATTTAATTCAATTTCTTCTCTGCAACACCGGCACGCGTGGAAGAACGGACCATGGTGAAGTAAAACTAACTTCACCGCGGTGCAAAGCGACATTTCCTAACCAAAATATTACGGTAAAGTGTGGAATTTGCAACACAACATAATAAACGATAGAGCATAATTGTCAACAATAGACGTTTTTCTATCGTCAAACCATAGATATCGTCATATCGCACAGCACTAGTTCCAATTTGGAAGAGATACCAAATTTCCAAGAACTGTGGACTTGTTAAGATGTGCATTTCGATTCTGCTTGTTGGTTCATAACCTTTTGCATATTTTGGTTAGTACGATGCCCAACCCTAATTGACAGAGCTTGTTGCTTGCCTTTTTAAAATTATTTTTTACTCCAGCATCACTAGCCATAATAATTTTGTAGCCAGTTCATTATGTCTATCCGTGGTGCATGTGTAGAATAAAAATACAAAAAAAGAAGCCAAATCAATCAGTTATCCAGCTCTGGTAATTAACTTCAATTTAATTTTCTTTGTTTTTAACCTAAACTCAACTCAAGTTATTATTGTGAATGCTAAATGCATTGACAGACTCTCCATCCTCCATAGTTTGCATGAGTCTGCAAAATCACTAAAAATACAAATGTACATTATTGATCTATAAAGTGAATTATTCGGGGGTTGAATTAATACGACTGTTAAAAAATGACTGTGGTTAATTCAAATACACATCTATCGTTTTAATATATACAATTTTGGGACAATGACATTGGTAATGTCCAGTAAACTTGATAAAAATGTTTGAATAAAGTGCTTTTATAGAAAAGAAATAATTGTGTTTCAATGAGTGATTAGTCGGTGCAGCATTCTTGTGAGTGTTATTGTCTCAGTACCTGCATTGTGACAAGTCTGTCATCCACCATGACTTCTTTCGTCAGGAAATCAGCACCTATTGTGGCTTTGTACTGGTTACTGAACTTCTTATTGACATACTGGTTCATCAAAGAGGTCTTCCCAACTCTAGAAAAACAAAATCAGAGCATATGATGGGCAGAAGCAAGTAAAACAGGAAAAGACATTGTGATTAACTGACTGCTGTGAGCATATTATCATCAGACTAGATAAATACTGTAATTAAGTGTTTTCTTCACAATAAACCATCAGGCCTCGCTCCTTATTGTTGTCCCACCACCTTTAGCTTTTAGGCTATGGCTCAACATCACTCACCCGGAGTCTCCGAGGATGATGACTTTGAGTAGTACTTTCTTCCTTGATGTCATTATGCCACAGCTGTAAAGACAAAAAAATAGATTAAAGGGGACAAGAAAACTCCTAACAGAAGCAGACCAAGGCTGGAATTGCTCAAACAAGATGGATCAGATATTCCCTGGTGATGACTCTTTTTGATATTGCCCAACAGGTTTCACTGAAAGATGATCAGGTCTGTGTGCGTGTTGAAATACATTCCAAAGAAATGGACCGGTTCTAGGAATGAAACCAAGTGCAATCTCACCAATACTATTATGGTAAAACAATATGCTGTACCGCATTGTACTATGAGGGTCTAAATACAATTCATGAAACAAACTATTCACTATGCCCCCCCCCCCCACGTTGAACAATGCAGTGCCGGGATTGTTGAGGTGAGATGACGGCTACTATTTTTAGTAGCTGGTTGTTTTTGTTATACTGTTAAGCTCTGATTTTGTGATATTTATGCTGCTGACAAATTAAATAATGTAATAGCGCACATTGTTTCATTCCCAACATTACAATCAGCTGAAAACAAAAGTGGAAATATGCATTGTTTTAGTCTTTACGTGTTTATACTGCAGTCTGCATCATGATGACTTCCCAACTCAGATCTGTATTTCTCCTACCAAACAGGCAGGATTTGCACTTTCATCCTTATCGACACACAGACTTAACAGATTTTAGTAAAACTACAAATAAACAGCGCTAAAACTAATAGGAAAAATAGGTGTAGGCCTCAACTATCCTCAACTCTTCCACTTCAACTCCTCATACCTCCACTAACTTATCTTTATTTCCGTAATACAAGACACCTAATCTCTATCTTCCTCTGCACTGTTCCATTATGTTTCCACATAAAGCAGAAATGTATCTTATTCATCCCAATCAATTCACCTCTGAAATTAATTGCTGATCGGGATTATCAGAAGTACGATTTTGTTTTTTTATCACGGCTAATCAAACATGCTCATCTTAGCGCTTGCTCAAGACAACTGAGTGCGCCTTGTAATAATAAACCACCTCATACAGCTGTAATGACCAAAGTCCAAACTATTAGCGAGGAGGCTTTAAATCATCATTCCATTCAGGTTTGACCATGGAGAAAACACATCAGTACACAGTAGGTTTTATCCACACATCACTGAATGTTTACAGCTACTTATGTGAATGAAAAGCCATATAGGTGCTATTAAGACGCAAACCTAGCAAAGAGCTATCGGTGCGGCTCTCATAATCTGCAACCCATGACACTGTGTCAGGGACTGATCACATGGTTTAAACACAGGACTAACGGAACCATGACTTGGCAAGCATGATTAGCACAGCAAAGGCTGTAGTTGGATTCAATACACATATCGGTGTAATCCATAGTTATGATCAACCTGTGGACTAACCTGGTAACGTTAGTTAATATTTCTACTTTATAAACTGTAGCAGTCTTGTCTCAGCATTTTACCATAAAGACATCCCAGACATTTGAGTTAGCAAGGTAGAATAAACATCTGGAGATCAAATAATAGAAAGCTATGTAGGCAAATCCAGAGAACCGATTGAACATAGGTTTGGGAAGGGTATCATCATTAAACAGACAATGTTTTCAAAACAGCAGCCAGCCGTTTCAGATACCGTTCCCACTAACAATTACCGTAACCATATCAGTGACACTTCTTAATGTAAGCTAACATTTAACGTTAGTTAGCTAGCGTTAAGCAAGGTTTATTACTAAAAGTCAAATGTAACGTTAAATAACGGCAGCTTTATCGTTGGCATATATCGTTAGTAAGACAAATAACTTAAGTCACCACAAACCAACCTGGGCGATGATCCTGCGGTGAAAAATATCAAAAGTGGACTTTTCCTCTGCCTCGGTCTGAAGCGTTAGCTAACGCGCAGGCTAGCTAACAGGCTACCAGCTCAAGTAAATGTCTGCCGTAAGAAAACAACCCGTTTAACTTAGAGGCTCGACAGTTAAATGATCCCTAATAGCTTGCCTCGGAGCTAACTCTACTTATCAAAGGCAGCACTGTCAGTGCCGACGTATATCTCCCTTCGTGTTACAGAAGTGATTTGGTATAACGTCTGTCTCGCTCTGTCCCCGTTGACGCTTGCTTTTCCTGTCGAGCTAACGTGCTAGCCGCTAGCCGAGCCGCGTTCACTTCCTCCAAAACAAGCACTGTCGGTGAGGGCCGACGTCACGCGCCGGACACGCCTTGTTCCACGGGACATGAGAAGTCACAACAACATAAATGTCACAGATCCAGCAGGAATACGCATGGTCATACCGCATTCAGTACATACTAGTCCGTACTGCTCACAATGTCAGTATCTTAGTATGGGTGAATGACTGCTCCACTGACATGGGGTCAATTAACAATAACACTGCTACAATTTAGAAATAAACTATACATTTGATGAGCATATTGTATCTAACGAGGTACAGACTGACAGATTAAACAAATATGTCCTTATTTTGTAAAGAGGAACAGAAAAGCCAATGAAAAACACATTTGAAACTAGCTGAACATTAAACTACATGCCTCCCATTAATTATGCTATAACAATTGTGACTATTAATGACAATAACCTACAGACCAACAGAATGTGGCCTAGAGATACTCCCATCAAGAATCTTGTTTGCCATGTGACTTTTCTTTTAGCATGTATGTATGGTTGGCCCAGAATAACCTTCAAGGGAGCCTGGGGCAAAAATGTAAAAGTTACTCATTGCTGTCCTTCACACCAGACTTTTACTGCCATAGAACATCCTGATGTCAGCCATCTTTGCTGTCTGCCAGTGGAGCCAGCCATGGAGGGTCTTGGTTTGCCATGGCTCTTTTGCTAGCTCTTAATTCATGCCCCGTTTCTGAATCTGTGGCATTCTCCTATAGCAGCTGATCTTTGGGAGCGAGTTTACTGACATATCCAGAGATGTTTCTTTTTTCCTTAAAGACAGTGGCCTTGACAGTCACTAAGTCCCACATGATTTTGAGGAGTTTCTAGGTCGCCTGGAGCTCGATCAGCAGCTTCCATGTCCCCTCTTGGCCAGCTTACTATACAATCTGGGTATTTATGGCATATGTAATGATGTCATTGATTTTGATTTTTCCATTTAACTGACAATAGATCTATGTATTTGTGTAGGTAATATTATGCTTTGCAACAATAACCCTGTCTTTCATGCCTCCTCATTATAATGTCTATGGAAGTGAATCTCCTGTTACATCTAAAGCGTTTGGCAGACTTTTTCTATAATTACATTATCTATTCAATTACGTTCTAAATTCCATTTACACAACCTGTATCTACATTGTATTCTAATATATAAAAAACACACACATTTAATTGACACAAGTCAGCTACATCTCAGATTTATATTTTGCTGTGAAAAAAATGCAAATCCACCACCTAAAAAAACACCTCCCAAGTCACAGTTTTAATGGTGATGCCATCATCAGCAGTCAATGTGCAGCATAGTTGATTCATGTGAAACATATATATTTTATATTGTTTAAATTACGTATTTCTTTTTTATTATTATCATAATTTTTTATGATTTTTGACTTTTGTAGCAGGCTACTTGTTTTTCTTTTTTTCTTTTATCTTACTATAATTATTGTTATGCACCAAAATACCAAGGTAAATTCATTGTATGTGAAAACCTTCATGACATCTGATTCTGACTGAAGGTATGAAAAATGGCCATGGCCACCCTTAATGATTGTGAGTTTTTGGTTATGAAACATTATATGTAGCAAAATCGTGTTAGGCAAACAAATTTTTGGCGATTTAACAGCTGATTATAAAACCTACTCTTTTACAACAGGATCCCGATGCAAAGATACCTACACAAAGTTTAAAAGCCTTGCACACTGCCGAAACCCGGGATCGAACCAGGGACCTTTAGATCTTCAGTCTAACGCTCTCCCAACTGAGCTATTTCGGCACATACGCAAAAACATTGAATCCTCTAAAACAACAACTAATAAATCAGTAGCCTTTTTAACACAGGCCTAATGTCTAATTTAATTTATGTTTCACGTCCTTACAATCCTAAACACATGAATGAATGCTGCAAATCATTCAGGCTACATTCACAAAAAATATACAATAGCATATTTTCTCTACAGTGTCAAACATGCTATAGGCTGTGGAGTTAATTGACAAATTTTCTGTAGCCTACAGGTTATGTGGTTAATTTACCTGCATCTGAGTTATTTGATACTGCAAATGTTTCAATACCATGAAGCATATTGGTAAGAGTGTGTGTTATTCCTTAACATAGCTACTCGCTTTGTTTGTGCATAATGACCGGCTCAACAGATCGTCAACTCTTTCTAGTCACAGTGCTCCCTGGTCATACCATAAACTGCCCGAGCCTTCAAAACTTCCCCATGCTCTGCCGAAACCCGGGATCGAACCAGGGACCTTTAGATCTTCAGTCTAACGCTCTCCCAACTGAGCTATTTCGGCCCGTTGCAACTCACAATATGCCACATTCACATACTGACAGCATCAGAAGTCTGTTCAATGCATATGTTCAATAGTGTAGGCTGGAATGACTGACACAGGTGCCTTCAGCAGGAGGAGAGCTCACTACCGCAGACATTCCAAGGACCAACATTCTTGAAAAAAGGTCATATTGAAATCGTGTTATGTTTTAATCTTAAATAACTATCTTTATGTAAGATTTCACAATCGCTTCCGACGCACGGCGCGCTGTAGGTCGGTTTTAGAGCGCGCAGTGACGTCATCACGTTGGACTGAATGAAGCGTCATCCTTTCTGATGTAGAGCGGCACGGCGGCCTTTCTTTGCTGCTCTACATTTCCCTCAATCTTTCCGCTCTTGTCCCGGTATTTCACATCGTAATGTCTTTAACCATGACTCGAAAGTCGCCGCTTCTCGCCGCGTGCCTGCTGCTGCTGCTGGCTGCTCGGAGCTCGGAGGTTTCAGCGGACGGTTTGGTGAACGAGGAGGTGAAGAGGACCGTGGACTTGAGCACTCATCTGGCCAAGATCACCGCGGAGATCGTGCTGTCCAACCAGGGACACTCTGCCGTCCAGAGCTTCATATTAGCGGTCGAGGATGACCTGTCCGCACACCTGGCATACATCGGAGCTTCGGTGAGCCCAACATCAGTGACTGAAACGCCGCCAGCCCCTCTGCTGAGAAATGACTCGCTAGCTTTAGCCTGTTAGCCCCTTCATGGCATGCTACACGTATCCTGGCTATGCAACACCCCGCTGCTCTTAAATGTAGCTTTTTTTCTGTGTTAAATTGACAGCAGTAACGTTAGTGCACAGGTTGGTGCTACCATGTGATGTTACAGTGTGTTCATTGAATGCATGAAATCACAGCTCATAAGTTAGCAAGGATGATGTGATTCAGTGTGTGGTCCTGCAGTGAGCTCAAAAACAGCCACAGTTTGCTAAGTTACTATTGTGTGTATTGCTTATTGCAATGTATTGGCATTAGCTCATTTGCATTGAGCAGGAATGTACTAAACAGCTCGACCTAAATCAGATAAATTAATTTTGAATCGCTGAGGATGTGTAACAAGTTAACTTCCGCAGCGCTGCACGCTCTGACTGAATGACACGTATGCGCTGGGCAGCTCACTTCCGTGTGTGACTGCGCAGGCCTGCCCCTTCCACTATGAATGAAACTGTAGCAATGCTCTGTTTTTAGACAGAATAAAACGCTACACGAGGTTCCTTCAAGGCTTCAACTGTTACCCGCTGCATTATGAACCTTTCACTTGTCCCGTATTTCGCTGGTAAGTGTTTTCATTTCAAACAGTGTATGCTCAAACCACCATGTTTTCACAGGTGAAGGGTGATGACGAGGAGGATGGCACACTTGAACTCCAACAGACAACAATTCAGGGCCGAAGGTAAGATATTAGACTCCGTTACATAGTCATCTGTCGATTTCTGTCAGTGCAGTGACTTTTAATATGAAAATAAATGGGTTTGATTCATAAAACAATACTTGGCAACTTGTTAGATGACAAATTACTTATTGATAAATATTTGGGTCATTTTATCAGCATTTTCCATTTACAATATAAGGTAGTAAAACCACATCCCCAACAATGAAATGTTGAAAGCAAGATTACATTTTGTAGTTCAGCAGTTATGCAATTAATCTTCCCCATGCTCCTCTCTGTCATGTCTCATCTGTTCCTGTACAGCGGGCAGTTTTACAAAGTGCAGCTGCCCTCCAGTCTGGCAGCAGGCGCTCAGCTGAAAGCAAAGGTAGAGATGACATTTAGCCATGTCCTGAAGCCCTTCCCCACACACGTCACCCAAGCAGAGCGCCAGCTGGTGGTCTTTCAGGGGAACCACTACCTGTATTCCCCGTACCCTACTCGCAGCCAGACCACGCGTGTCCGACTGGCCTCTAAGACTGTGGAGAGCTACACGAAGCTGGGTAACCCCAGCAAGAATGATGAGATCATCGAGTATGGACCCTTCCGGGACGTAGCTCCATTCAGCGAGGTACAGCTCTAAACCAGGTTTGATGAGCTTCAATTGAAGCTGCAAGAGAGTTTCTAAAACCTTATGTGTTGTTTGTGTTCTGTTCTGTCCAGGATGCGATGAAGATCCACTATGAAAACAACTCCCCCTTCCTCACCATCAGCAGCATAACTCGGACCATTGAGGTCTCTCACTGGGGTAACATTGCTGTGGAAGAGACCATCGACTTAAGACACACGGGAGCCATCCTGAAGGGGCCTTTTTCACGTTACGATTATCAGCGTCAGTCAGACAGTGGTATCTCATCTGTCAAATCCTTCAAGGTGCTGTATTAAACTCAAACCACCGGCGTCTTGACTTCTTGTTACTGTTGAGGTGATGTGGATGATGACTATATATGCCTTCTCCTCAACAGACAATCCTTCCTGCCTCGGCCCAGGACGTCTACTACAGAGATGAGATTGGAAACATCTCCACCTCCCATCTGCAGGTTCTGGATGACTCTGTGGAGGTGGAGGTCAGACCTCGCTTCCCGTTGTTCGGAGGCTGGAAGACCCACTACATCATTGGCTACAATCTGCCCAGCTACGAGTACCTCTACACCCTGGGTGAGTTCAGCCCAAACACAGGAGAAAACTTCATACCCATTTTCTGAAGGACCACTCCAGACTGAGAG